TCTGGGTACTGAGCATTTATATTATATTATGCTCTATTTGATTTAAATATTTCACAGTTTACTTTAAAATACTTTAAAACGAGATGGGATGAAAATATGTCAAAATGGCTTTTTGGGGGAGGGGATTCATATATACCAACAGCAGAGTTAAACTATTTGGACCAGTGGGTGCATTGTTGAAGAAAACCATTTCTTACCTCAATGTGACAACTACATGCATAAGAACAGTATTAAATTGAGCATATATGAGGGTGGACAATTAAGTTCGCAAACCCATCAGAGAGAACGTGCCACACACACACCTCACTGCTGATTACCTGACTCCACAGTCACCTTCTCAGTACCTGCCTTGGGAGGCTATGGCACTTAGGCAATTTTGGAATTCTTTTCTGGCATGGCCATCAGAGCATCATTGTAGGATGTCTGACAAGTTCAAGAAGTCATCCTGGAAAAAGTACACTGAAGAGGGGACTAGGCCCGGGCATCAGTGCATAGCTTCCCAAGGGTGGGGGGTACTTCAAAAGTGACCATATACTATACAGCAGTAACACATGTAACATTTTTTTCTAGGATGAATTTGCAAACTTAATTGTCTGACCTTGTATAATGTGGTTAATTTATTTAAAGGGCAAACAACTTATAATCCATCATCTCAGTTTGTAATCAGGTTATGCTTTTCTGGAAGTAACTTTCTGGCTTATTACATTTAAATTAAACAGCACTATCACATATTGACCCTATTTATCCATAGTTTTTGAGGTGTTTACTTGAAACAAGGATGAGGTGGCTTTTTGAGAAAGCAGTAACTTTTGAGCACATACTAGAAGAATTTTGATTATATATTTTATGCACATCTTTATAGTTACAATGACTTAAAAATCTTTCAACTTTGTGCGGAAATCTGTTTTATATTTGAGAACATCGGAAATTAAATCATTTTCATGGCTATTACTCCATTTCATTTTGCTGAAATTACCTGGTGTTGAATTGACAAATTTGAGAGGGCTGATCACTGTCAATGTGTAGAGGTTAATGTGGAAGCAATATTTTTTAAAATCAATAACAGTGTGTCCTTTTTTTGTGTTTAACAACTTTAATTGAGATATAATTTGCCTTCTACAGAATTGTCCCTTATTGACTATACAATTAAATGAATTTTAGCAGACTGTGTACTCACCACAACACTTTAATTTTAGAACTTTTCCATCACCTTCAAAAGAAGCCTGGTGTATTTACAACCACTTCCCATTTCTACCCTCAGCCACAGGCCACCACTAGACTTACTCCTTCCCTCTGCATTTGCTTGTTTTAGACATTTCATATAAACGGAATCGTTCCCTGTGTGCTCTTTTGTGTCTGGTTGCTTCTACTGGGCATAACATTTTTTTAGGTTTATCCATATCGTAGCATGTATCAACACCTAACAAAGTGCTTTTTTGGAGCTAACTGATACTCCCTTGTATGGGTAAGCCACATTCACCAGCTACCAGCTGATGGATATGAGAGTTGTTTCCACTTTTTGTCTATTGTAAATATTGCTTTGTAATATAAACACTTTAGGGTTGCATTTCCCTAATGCCATGATGTGGGACATCTTTTCATCTGCTTATTGACCATTTTCATATCTTTTTGGGTAATGTCTATTCAAATCCTTTGCCCATTTTTTTTTGTTATAATCTCTCTCTCTCTCTCTCTCTCTCACTTTTGAGTTGAAAGGGTTCTTTAAATATTTTGGGTACAAGACTTTCGTTGTCATATGATTTGAAATGCTTGAGCTGTATTTTCACTTTCTTTGGGGTATCTTTTGGAGAGTGATATTTATAAATTTTGATCAAGTCCTCCTTATCAATTTTATCATGGTGTTTTTGACATATATATAAGAAATCATTGCCTAATGTAAGATTGTGATGATTTACTCTTAAGATTTTCTGTGAACCTTGGGTGGCACCTGTGGCTCGGTGGGTAGGTCGCCTGCCCCATACACTGAGGGTGGCGGGTTTGAACCCAGCCCCAGCCAAACTGCAACAAAAAAATAGCCAGGCATTGTGGCAGGAGCCTGTAGTCCCAGCTACTTGGAAGGGTGAGGGAAGAGAATTGCCTAAGCCCAAGAGCTGGAGGTTGCTGTGAGCTGTGACATGACAGCACTCTACAGAGGGCAACAAAGTGCGACTCTGTCTCTTAAAAAAAATATTTTCTATGAACCATTCTAGTTCTCATATTTATGTCTGTGGTCAATTATGAGTTAATTTTGTGTGGTGTGAGTTAAGGATCCAATTTCACTTTTTGGCATGAAGATCATCTAATTGTCTCAGCCCTATTGGCTGAAAAGACCATTTATTTCCTTTGAACTTTCTGGAAGCTAATCATAAAGAAAGGGTTTATTTCTGGGATTTTAATTCTATTTCATTCACTTATATATTTATTTTTATGCTGGTATCACTCTGATTATTGAAGCTTTGTAGTTAGTTTTATAATTGGGCAACAGAGTGTAAGTCTGACTTTTTTTTTTTCTTTTTCACGGTTTTTTAGGTTCCTTGTATTTGCCTGAGGATTAATTTTCAATTTCTTTAAAAAAGTTAGCTGGGATCTTGATAAAGATTATATTAAAAATGCAGATGAATTCTCAGAATATATATTCTGTAGGAAGATGAGATATCTCTTTATTTATCTGGGTCTTTTGAAATTTCTTTCAGCAATATTTTATAATTTTCCGAGTACAATCTTGTTCTTTGGCTAAATTTATTCCTAAGTATATTCAAATTCTTCTTGATACTATTGTTGGGTTTCAAGGCAGCTGCCTATGTCCTAAAATGTCTGATGTTAGAGGGAAGCATTCAGCGTTTCTCTGTTAAGTAGGAAGTTAGTTTGAAAGTTTTTCATAGGTGCCTTTATCACGTTAAACAAGCTCCTTTCTATCCCTCCTTGGTGGAGGGTTTATGGGAAATGGTGTGGGACTTTATCAATTGCTTGCTTGGCATCTATTGAGTCAATCATGTGTTTTTTGATCTTTATTCTACATTGTATTAATGTGGCCTTTTTAATTCTAGGTCTTCAGTCTTGCTGGTGAAGCCTGCAAAAAAGTGATATTTAATGTACCTTCTAAACTAGAGGCAAACAAAATAATTGGCAGAGGTGAGAAATTTCAAAACATATTTTTAAAATCAGACAATTTTATTAGCTGACTGTTTGCCTAACTCATATGCACCATCATTCTTTGAACTCAGGTGTATGACTTTTGGTCAAAGATAAATGTACATATTGTAAAAGACTCACACAATATTGTTAAGGAAACTTTTCTGTTTATTTATTCAGGTGTGTGGGGTGTGCAGCCCTTTCCTTGTCATGATTTCAATGTGCTCACCTTTTTAAATGGACGATCATTTTTATAAGCGTATTAGAAACATCATAAAGGTTAAAAACATTATTTGATAGAAACATATTGAAGAATTATTTTTTAACTAACAGAAAATTATCATTTTTTAATAATGTAAAAAGGTTAAGATGTTTGGAAAATGCAAAGTAAGGGTTTATTTCATTCCACTTCATGATTTTGAAGAGGATGGTATAAATTATTTTAATACCTTCCTTTGGTTTGCATGTGTTTCTGCTTTATAACTTGAAGATTTTTACCTGCAGTTAATTTGAAAGAGTGCCTCCGATCTGCAGCCCTCATCCAGTGGAGTGATCCTGCTTTCCGAGTTCTAGATGATGGGTCTGTGTACACAGCCAGTGCTGTTGTGTTGTCTGGTGAGAAAAGATCATTCACTATATGGCTTTCTGACATAAAGAAACAGGTTCGGAAGGAGATCATCGTGCTCCTGGAACATCAGAAGAAGGTATTCCATTGAGTACTTTGAGGCATCCTTTTCTTTTCATTAAAATACTTTCATTAAAAATGCAAAGAGGACCAAAGGATGCAGGTGATATTTCTCTCCTCACCTCCTCTTCTCCTCCTCTCTTTCTTCCCCTTCTCTCTTCCTCTCTCCCTCTCATTCTTTTTTCTTTTCTTTGCAGTTTTTTTTTTGGCTGGGGCCAGGTTTGAACCCACTACCTCTGGTATATGGGGCCGGCGCCCTACTCCTTTGAGCCACAGGCACCACCCTCTTTCTTTCATTTTTAACACTATGTCAACATGGGCTTTGGATTGACTTTGTTAAATCTAAATGATACTTGTTTGTGAGGGTTTCTTCCACCTCTAAATTCCAATTAATGCTGTTTGTGCACCAGTGTTTGTTTTGTTACCTCTCTATTGTAGTGTTCAGAATTTTTCATTATGCAAACAATTTATCATGAAGAATGTTGTCACGAAGATAGTCACAAAATGATGAAAGGCTTAGACCAGATTACATCAATGTTAACAATATTTATGATAAAGCTAATTTAAACAACTACTTAGCACTTTATTAAATATAAAATACAATTGTTGATAAATTAATTTTTATGAAATAAAATGTCTCCCTTGGAACATCATGAAATAAGTGGATAACACTAAAAAGTCTAATGGAACTATTTGCAGTGACAGAAATGGTCTATAGTCTACACTGTCTGATATGGTAGCCCACTTCTAATGGCTGCCGAACACTTGGCAGGTGACTAGTGCAATTGAAGGATAGAACTTTTCATTTTACTTAATTCTAGTAAATTTTTTTTTTTTTTTAAGACAGAATCTCACTCTTCTCATCCTGGGTAAAGTGCAGTGACATCATAGCTCACAGCAACCCCAAACTCTTAGGCTCAAGTAATCCTCTTGCCTCAGCCTCCCTAGTAGCTGGATCCACAGATGCCTACCACAATGCCTGGCTAATTTTTCTATGTTTAGTAGAGACGGGGTCTCACTCTGGCTTACGTTGGTCTAGAATCCTGAGCTTAAGCAGTTCATGGCCTCCCAGAGTGTTAGGATTCATGGCTGTTGGCGGTTAGTAGATATCATGTTGGCAGTGCGCATAGAGCACTAAGGCAGTGAAAGACCTGAGTTTTCATTCTGTGGTTCACCTGAGAAGGTGAGGTTTTAACAGAAAAAACAGGTGTGTTCAGTCTGGAGATTGTCATGGAGAGGAAGTATTCTGTATTTAGGATAAAGCAAGATGGACTAAAAGTAAAGTGATGAATTTCCTTACCTGAAAGTATGGTCTGTATTAGAAAGGTTTACAAAAAAAAATTCCAAAGGGTACCTGTCAAATGTATTAAGAGCAGAGTATAACTGTCTTAATATAACAGTTAAATAAGTGGGGTGAAGGCCCTGTTAACCAGTTTGATGTAAGCATTCCAAATTGTATATAAAATCAGCACAGTGTACCCTATAAATGTATCAATGTACACAGTTATGATTTAATAAATAAAAATTAAAAAATTTTTAAAAAAGAGATTTGCTTCCAGAAAAAAAAATATTAATAAATGAAAGAAATTCCCAGCTGGATGAGGTGGTTCATGCCTGTAATCCTAGCACTCTGAGAGGTCAAAGCAAGCAGCTGGCTTGAGCTTATGAAGTCAAGACCAGCCTGGGCAAGAGTGAGACTCCATCTCTAAAAATTAGCTGTGTGGTGTGGTGGGCGCCTATAGTCCCAGCTATTCAGGAGGCTGAGGCTAGAGGATCACTAGAGCCCCAGAGTTAGAGGTTGCTGGTTGCTGTGCACTATCATGCCATGGCCGTGGCACTCTACTGAGGGCAACAAAGTGGGACTCTGTCTCAAAAAAAAGAAAAGAAATTTTATAGTTTATGAAACTTTTACAATATGGGTATAATCTTTCTTATCTTTCTAGTGCAAAAAGATTGTATTTACTAACTAACTTCAGGATGGAAATTCCTGAGCCTGAGTCTCCAGACAAGCATTAGGTTTACAGGCTGTCCTCTATTTTACAATAAAGTATCCTGAGAAGCTTTTGTTTATTTTTTCTTTCTCTAAATTCAGGTGTTGAAGAAAAGACAAACTAAAGAGACTGTTCTCAGACGTGCCAAGAGGAGATGGGCACCCATTCCTTGCTCAATGCAAGAAAATTCCTTGGGCCCCTTCCCTTTGTTTCTTCAACAGGTAGGATTTCATTCCTTCTGGTTGAGACTGCTTCCATTCTGGGTGTGTTTTGTTCCACTTTAATAACTCTGTAAACATTTAGAAATAAACGGAACTGATTGAAGATGTTCATGAGGTATAGTAAAAGTGAGTACAATTGAGGGGAAAAAATCACTGAAAAATGGTAATATGAGGAAGACTCTAAAGCCACGGAGTGACCTTTGTTCATTCCTTTAGCAGATAGTTACTGAGAATGTACCGTATCCTGTAGAGGCGCCTCTCTCGGTCCTAAAGGTAGAAATAAATTTGACCATGGCCCTTGCTCTCACGTGGTTTGTTGGCTGAGAAAAGGCGATAGGAGGGGGCTAAGGATTAGAACACTTAGTGGTGAGTGTTAGGATTCTACAACAGACATGTAGATCTGATCACACGTGGGATGAAGACCACACTGAGATAAGGAGGTAAAAAGCAAGAAGGCTTTGAGGAGGAGATGTCTGAGTGGAGTCCTCAAGGATGGGAAAGTTCTGTGCAGGTGAATGATTGTGGAAGAAAAGAGAAGTACAGTGGTGAGAGGAAGTATGGTCCCCCTACAGGAGTGCTGGGTACCTTGGTTTTCCTAAATGTGATAGGGGGTGGAACAGGGAGATGGGTCAGAAGAAGTAGGGAGCTGTCAAACCGTTATGGGCTGTGCCTATTCTGCACAGAACTTTAACTTTATCCCAGAACCAAGGAGGAATTTTTAACCAGGTTAAGGACATGATCAAGTTTACTTTACACATTGAGACCTAAGTGGAACATACATGGTTGAAACAATTCCTGAAGTAGAGCTATGGCTTTGTGCTTGCCTTTTTTTCCTTCAAATTCTATTACTGTGATTTCTGTTTAATACTGACAGTATGACCTGTGTGGTCCTTGTCTAATTTTTAAATATGCTTCCAGAAGAGTCTTTCATACTTATTTTTTATTGTATCCAGTGCTAGACATTTGTTTCTTCTTCACGAATGTCATAACTGAAACCCTGATGAGGCTTATTAAATGTTTTTAGATTGCCAAAATTATGCTAATCTTGGCTCATTTTAGCCTTTGCATTGCTAAACTCGTCACTACCTCTTAGTCTTCATTTCCTTGACATATGTACATTTGATGCAGCTGACCTTTACCCACTCCTGGAAATAGTTTCTTCATTTGGCTTCTAAAACATCACTCACCTAGTTTTCCACTTACATCATTGACCACTCCTTAGTATGTTTACCACCCTCGTCCCCCAACCCAGTCTCTACACTTTGGAGAATTCCAGGACTCAGGTAATTAATCTCGTCTTTTGTTTTTTGATATCCATGCTCTCAGCAATCTCATCCCATATCATCATGGCTATAAGTACCATTTATACACTGGATAGTTAACACTTAGTATTTCCAGGTGAAACTACCTAATAAATATTTACTTCTTCTTGGAAGACTGATAAAATTTGAAACTTAACACATGCAAATAAAATGCTTGATTTTGCGCCTAAAAACATCTTTCCATCTCAGTCAATGGCAGTTCAGTCCTCAACTATGTGGCCTTGGAGTCTGTTTTAAGAGGTTTTCATTGTAGAAAGCTTACTTCTCTCCACATGGTTAATAGATAGGGATTTGGAGTTTATAGAATTGTTGGGAGGACTGAAGAAGCAAATATTAGTAGAACTTTCAGAAACAAGTTCCCAAGCTAGCTACACTACGGAACCCACAGTGAGGGACGTGTTACTTCCTCCATGGTGGTGAAGACATTGATTCTAGAACCAGAGTGTCACTGGCACAGTCAGAAAAGCACTACAACCTGAAAAAAGGTTCCTCCTCATGTAGCTTTAGAACAATTTTCCAGTGACTCCAGCCAGTGTTAGCAGTTCATAATCTGTCTCTCATCATCCACAAAGGTGGTGAATAACAAGGAGTACTGCTGCTGCGGCATGAAAAAGACAAACAAACAAAACAAAACAAAAAACAACAAATGCTATAAAAAGCAAAAGAGAGAAAAGAAAGGAAATCCATTTAAACTCCGATGCTGGCGAAAACAGCAGAAGTGGCAAAAACAAGACCTCTGCCTCCCTTATGACTTCCAAATCACGTGCAAGCACATCCGATGGTCCACATTTAAATTCAGAACTCTGGTTTGAAGAGTTTCTGCAAAATATAAGGTTTTTGGTTTGTTTTTGTCTGAATCTTTCTAGGATCTATCCTGGAAGGACATTGTAGAAGGAAAATCAAGCAGAAGTTGAACCCCAATTTACCATATCCATCTATTCTTCTTATAACTAAACTTTTAATTCCTATATTATTACAAGAATGGTTATAGCTGTATTTTATCAAGATCCCAAATAATAATGACTTAAGAGAGACAGGGGTTTATACCTCTCCTATTAGAATGTGATTAGGTAAAAAGGGTTTGATCTGAGAAAACACCAGGGACCCAGGCTTTTTTATTTTTTAGCCTAATCAGCTCCACCAGTCCAAGGTGGCTCTTCACCGTGTCCAAAAGGGAGAACGTACTTCCTCCCATTACCCTGACCTTTTTGTGGGGCTAATTGCAAGGGAGACTGAGAAATGCCTTTCTTTGGGGCAACCTTATGCTCAGCTATAAATTCTAATACTAAGGAAGACGGGCAGAGCAGACTTTAAGCACCCTCTGTCATAGTATCCTTGACTTTCTTTTTCTACGGCACATCCAACCCTTCGGCACATTCTCGTAGCTATACCAATAGATTGTATCCAGAATCCAGCCACTTCTCACTGCCTTTATTGCTACCACGTTAGTCTATCAAACTATCATTGTTCTCCTGCATGACTGCAGTAAGTAAGTGGTCTTTCTGCTTTTTCTTTTACTCCCCCACCTGAATCTAGTTAAGAACAAGACAGCGAGTATTACCCTTTAAAAACAGAGATCAGATGATGCCATTCTTGTGTAAGTTAATTTCTCTGGTGGTTTCCCATATGACACATCCTTGGATTCTCCGTGACATAGTCCCCATGACCGTATGGCATCTTTATCGCCTATTTCTTTTCCCTGTTCTCTTTCTCTGCCAATCACATTGCTTCCTTGGAGAGTCCTTTCTGGAGTAGTCCAGTCACAGCTCAGAGATTGTTATTTCCTTGTCAGGAGGAGCCTTTGCTGTTTATCCTTAGCTCATTCTTTTAATTTTTGTCACTTTCCCTCCCCAAGGTACACCCCAATCGGCATTCCTCTCATCTGTATGCAAGAGTCCCTATTTGCCTTACTTTGGGCAATAATAGGTATTACTGTTTTATTGAAATCATCACTTTAAAATGGAAAATATATATATATATATACACACATACACATGAATGTATCAGCTACATATAAAAATATCATTTTAACTGAATTTAATTTTAATTTTTTTTGCATACTTTTTTTCTTTTAGGTTCAGTCTGATGCAGCACAGAACTATACCATCTTCTACTCAATAAGTGGGCGCGGAGTTGACCAAGAACCTTTAAATTTGTTTTATATAGAAAGAGACACTGGAAACCTGTATTGCACCAAGCCCGTGGATCGTGAGGAATACGATATTTTTGATGTAGGAGTTTCATGGATACCCTGGATGTGATATTATTGCACTGTTTCTTTTGATACTCACTCCATCTGGTCTTCCCTGTCTACTTGCAGTCTCGTCTTAGGATGTATCTTAGAGTTAAAGGAAAGTTGAATGCACGGTGTTTTGGGATACTTGGTCAGCCCTTTATCTCAACTTCTGTTAGGCAAGTCTGAAGTGAAGCAAAGAGGTTTAATTACATTTGGATGTACATTTTAGTAAAGTTCCTGACAACTTTTTTTTTTGCTTATGAGATAGTCTCTCTTTCTCTCTCTCGGGTCACAGAAACATTTCTTTCACAGGTGTGATTCTTTGATCATGTGTGAGAACTAGATAAGGAAGCAAAAGTGGGAGAGCAAACCTAAATAAGGGTTGCCAAGCCCGAGTTCTGATACAGATGGGCTTCTAGTCAATGGGGAATAACTCAGGCAGTTTTCAGTAGAATATGGTAAATGCTGTGGGGTCATCTGCAGCTCCAAGGGGAACGATTCTTCATTGGAAAGTGGGATTCTGTTCCTAGAAGAAAAGGGAGGAGATGCCACATAAGCAAATATGACTGACGTCCCCCATGTGACATTCTCGGCTTTTGGTTAGAAGATGTTCAATTCAGTGTTCTGACCATACGCTGAGTAGAAATACATTTTCTTTGACATTACATGGCTTTTAATTAATTAGCAACAGGGCAATCAGTAAATACATTTTGTGAGATAAACTTTTACAAATATGTGATCTCTTGGGTAAAACAATAAAAGGGCTTGGCAATGACAAGGGTGGGAATCATTGACTTATTTAGAGGATGCAGGAGGGTTTTTTCCCATTGCAGTGCGTTTAATTGTTTACCACAGAACTGTCTGATTATGGAGAAAATAAAGGGAAGGGTAGAATCATTCCTTCCTTCTCTGCACTGTGATCTAGGTTTTTTTGGAAGTAGCCCTTTCCACCAAATAGTAGATGCTCTTTGTAGTGGTTGAAATGTTTTCCCATACAATGCTTTGACAATTTTAAAAGCATTGAATAAAAATACAAATCTTTGATGTGGGTTATCATTGAGAAGACTTGCAAAGAAAGCAGTAAAGCATCTCGTTCTCTTCTGCTGGAATCTGATTTAACGTGCAGTTCACTTTGCCTTTCCCTGTTTTGCAGTTGATTGCCTATGCCTCCACCGAGGACGGCTACTCAGCAGACTTGCCTCTTCCACTGCCCATCCGAGTAGAAGATGAAAATGACAACCACCCTGCTTTTACGGAAGCAATTTATAATTTTGAAGTTTCAGAAAGTAGTAGACTTGGTAAGTCTGCTTTTAAGAATAAAACATATGTGTGTGTGTGTGTGTGTGTGTGTATTTTGAGACAGAGTCTCACTTTCACACTCTGGGTGCATCAAATGTGGTGTCATAGCTCACAGCATTTTCAAACTCTTGGGGCTCAAGTGATCCTCTTGCCTCATCCTGTCATGTAGCTGGGACCCAAAGCGTCCACCACAACGCTCAGCTAGTTTTTCTATTTTTAGTAGAGATAGGGTATCACCCTTGCTCAGGCTGGTCTTGAACTCTGGAGCTCAAGCAATCCATCTTCACCTCCCAGAGTGTTAGGATTACAGGGCAAAACCTACCATTTTAAATATGTTCATGTATACTTTTTGAGACATTGAGCTTTTCATATGCAGAGACAGATCATTCTGAGATAACATTCAACTGGTATCTACTTACTGGAAAAGATTTAATACCAAATCCAATCAATACGGGCTTTACCAGATGTTACAAGAGTTTTTATTGTTGTCAATATGACACTATAAAGGCAGCTAACAGTCAAGCTTTGTGCAGTATTTGATGTATATATTTTATTTCATGTCCTCATCCTGTGGGCTTTCCATCACTCTCATCTCCAAGAGAGGACATGGACAATTCAAGGTGGGGGGGCCAGGGAACCAGGGAGCAGGGAGAGGGGAAGAGAGAGGGGGATAGGGGGTCACAGCGCATGGCACACCTCTTGGAGGTGGGACACAACTGTAAGAGGGACTTTACCTGACAATGCAAACAGTGTAACCTAATTCTCTGTACCTTCAATGAACCTGAACCCATAAATAAAAGAAAAAGAGTCTGGGGTTCCAGTGATGATGCCATTGCACTCCAGCCTCAGTGAGATACACTTAGACTCTGTCTTAAAAAAGAAAAAAAAGAAATAAAGAAAAAAAAAAAAGAAAGAAATACAGTACAGGCAGTCCCTGAGTTACAAACATCCAACTTGGGTACAACTAGCACTTATAAGTGGAGGCTGTTACAGGAAGTCCCCAAGTTACAAATACGTAACTGACCTGACGTGTGACTTGCATTTACAAATGGAAACTATAACAGGTAATAGGTAAATGTATCTGTTCTAACTTACGTACAAATTCAACTTAAGAACAAACCCACAGAACCTGTCCCATTCATAACCTAAGGACTGCCTGTAAGTATCATAAAGAGTTATGGGAGGAGACTGTTCCTTACATTAATATGTGTGCGTAAATTATGGACACATAATGGAAATGATGGCGTGTTAGATTTGGAAGGAAAATAATTAAAATAAACACAGGAACAAGTAAGAATAATTATTAGGAAATCTATCTTTTTAACAAGTAAATAGCTTTATTATCATAAGTACTCAGTATTATGAAAAAAGTACAAAAAGTTAGCCAACTCTCAGCAAGTAGCTTTGGATCTGGCCAAAAAACAAGTGTAGGGAATAAAAAAAAAAAGAGAGAGGACATGTGGGGTAGAATGAACAAAAACCTTAAAATCAGCATACATATTTTTAGGAGGGTGTTAAATAGCATTCACTGAGGATAGAATTATTTTAGGCTTTAATAAATATTCACTTCTTTTAAAACTACTACCTCACGACTTCCAATTTAGAATGCGTGCTGGAATAATTTCAGAGAAACTTACATCGCATATTCTCCATCCTAAAAACTTGCTCTTCCATGTGACAAACCGAAGTATTTCATTTTACCTGGCTCTTAAATGTGGCATTCAGGATGGCTTCTGAGGATTGCAGTGTGGAGAACAGCCATTCACAGTGAAGTTGAAAGCACATGAGCTCAATAAAAAAAGGATGACTCTGATAACTTGCCTGTTGAAGTTTCCAGTAGTTAGATCTTCCCTGCATTATTCAATCTGCTTTTTATCTTTATAGTTTACTTTGTAAATGTAATGTCATTGATGTTAACTTGTTTATTCCTCACGTGGGACAATTTAAAACTAAAAAAATCATTGGTTCGGAGGTTGAGAAACCTAGTTTTGGTTTCTTTTTGAATATATTTTATTGTGTATAGGTGGGATTTACAACACGATGTTATAGGATGCATATAAATAATGGTTATGGTAGTGAGGGAAACCTAGTTTTTGATGTAGGGTCTGTTAATTAATTCACTGTGAGAACTCATGGAAGTCCCTTTGAATTTTCTTTTCTGGAAAAGTAATTAATTATGTTACATAACCTATAATGTTTTTAGCCTTACAATTTTACTACGCCAGACTTTGTTACATTTTCCCTTCTTCAGAAAGGGATAATTGGTTTCAGATTCTTTTCTGACAATTCTGTTCTGTTCAATTGTAACAGAGAAAAATAAAGGACAAATGCCTGGATGTCCCAATTCATCCAGGGTGCTTTAAACACATTACTTCAGTAGGTTCAGGCTAGTTAAGGCTGTGATACTAAGTTGGTGAAGTGAATGAGTGAAATCAGAGACTAGAAAAAAGATCCCAGGAATGAGAGACCAGGGTACAGAAGTTCAATGTGACCATTATACGCATAATTACTATATACCCCCCTCCAGTTGGTAGGTACTAATCAAAAGTCCCATTAAAATCCGAATTACTTAGGAGACGTGGTTTAGTCCTGTAGCTAGATTTGTTATCCTCATACGTGGGAATACTCCAAAAAAATTAAAATTATTTTTGATTGACATTTAACTAATTTTTTAGCGATTTACTATCAGACATTTTAAATTGTGAGCAAGATTAAAGTATACCTTCTTTTTCAGCCTCTGAGTATTTTATATGATAAATTTGAAGTCACGTTCATCAGGACTATGTAATGATGCAATACTTCTTTTAAATGTTTTTAAAAGAAATACATTTTAAACTAGGTTTTCACCACCACTGTTAAAACTTTGAAAATGGACGTACTTCTAAATATAGAGGGGGCGCCAAAAACATGCACATTTGCAGAGATGTTATCTACATTACATTTTGCAGCTGAATTGAAGGCACTGTGACTGGGCACGGTACCCGAACATGCTACCCACGTCCGCTTTACCTGTAATTCATATACTTTGGGGGATGATGGCATTTACTTCCAACAAGATCTCTTAAAAAGTGCATATGTGTTTTGGCACATTGAAACATTATATATTTTTGGCACATTTGGTAGTTAGCAATTTTGGAAATTAAAGGCTCTTTTCCTCTTTTTAAAAAATGTGTAGGTACTTCAGTGGGGGCGGTTTGTGCCACAGACAGAGATGAACCCGACACGATGCACACGCGCCTCAAGTACAGCATTTTGGAGCAAACGCCCAGGTCGCCCGGGCTCTTCGCCGTGCACCCCAACACCGGCGTCATCACCATCATCTCTCATTATTTGGACAGAGAGGTAGCTTGCACCCTCCCTGGAGTTTCATTTCCTGGGGGAATTGAGCCCCATTTCCCATTGACTATAATTTGCTATCTGGTGGATTAAGCTTTTAATTTTATTTTAGGTGTAAGACAATTAGAATTCCTGGCATTTTTCCCATTTGTTACATTAATTTTATTTCTTCATGTGTAAGAGTAGCCATGAGGCACAGAAAAACAGATCAATCAGTAGTTAGAAGAAGAAGAAAAATTTGCTCTAAAAATTGTTACTGAATATTATTTTATTTTTTATGTGTGGTTAGTTGGTTCCAGTTCAGGAAAGGCTTCAGTTCTCATGTAGGGCATGTAGTTTTGCTTGTTACACAAGTATAGATAATACCAATTATCATTATTATTATTTTTTTTGAGACAGAATCTCACTATGTCACCTTCTGTAAAGTACTGTGGTGTCACAGCTCATAGCAACCTCAAACTCTTGGGCTTAAGCGATTCTTTTGCCTCAGTCTCCCAAGTAGCTGGGACAACAGGC